CAGGCTGGAGTGTAGTGGCACAATCAGAGCTCACTGTAGCCTCAGCCTCCTAGGTTCAAGCGATCCTCCTGCCTCTGCCTCCAAAGTAGTTGGACTACAGGCAGACACCACCATGCTTGGCTAATTTTTAAATTATTTTTTAATTTTTTTTAAGACAGAGTCTTGCTCTGTCGCCCAGGGTGGAATGCAGTGGTACAATCTCAGCTCACTGCAACCTCCACCTCCCAGGTTCAAGTGATTCTCCCACCTCAGGCTCCTGAGTAGCTGGCATTACAGGCACATGCCACCATGCTCAGCTAATTTTTTTTTGTATTTTTAGTAGAGACAGAGTTTCACCATGTTGGTCAGGCTGGTCTTGAACTCCTGACCTTGTGATCTGCCTGCCGTGACCTCCCAAAGTGCTGAGATTACAGGTGTGAGCCACCACCCCTAGGTCTTTTTACATTTTTTATAGAGATGGGGTCTCACTATGTTGCCTTTCTGTGTTGACCAGGCTGGTCTCAAACTCCTGGCCTCCTGCAATCCTCCTGCCTCAGCCTCCCAAAGTGCTGGGGTTTATAGATGTGAGTCAGTGTGCCTGGCCCTTCTTTTTTACCAAAAGCACAACAGCATTTCAGAGAGTTTGAAAAATACTAATGTAGGTCATTCATGGTCTTACCACCCTACAACAACTATTATCATCACTGAAGCTTACTTCCAGCTTTTCCTTTTTTCAAAGAAATACGTTGATTTCTTAGCCTGTCTTTATATCACTGAATTAAAAAGGAAACAACGTCACTGTTTCTCAAGGACAACGGGGGGAGCGGGGCTTGAAGCCTCCTGGTGGAAATGTATTTAGTGCCTTACTCCTTACGCTATGAGGCTCAGCAGAGTGGTACAGAACTCCACAGTTGTCTCATCCCTCACTGCTTGATTCACAGAGCTTTGATTCCTCTTTGGAACAGCAGTGTCTGTTGAATGATTATTTTCAGTAAGTTCATAATGAGATACATACACACACACATATATATATACACATACTCATAAAACAAGCTACATAAACACTTTTATTATACATACATAGTGTATGTATATAAGTACTTTTAAAAATTTTAATATTGTTTATTTTTGAGACAAAGTCTTACTCTGGCACCCAGGCTGGAGTGCAGTGGCATGATCCCAGCTTACTGCAACTTCCACCTCCTGGGTTCAAATGATTCTTCTGCCTCAGCCTCCCGCATAGCTGGGATTACAGGTACCCGCCACCACACTCAGCTAATTTTTGTACTTTTAATAGAGACGGGGTTTCACCGTGTTGGTCAGGCTGGTCTTGAATTCCTGACCTCAGGTAATCTCCCCACCTTGGCCTCCCAAAGTGCATAAGCCACTGTGCCCAGCCGTGAGTACGTATCTGTTATAGTATATACTTAGATATATATCTGTATACTTATGGTATTAAGTATATAGTATTAAGTGGAAGGGGATCATCATTAAGTTCTTCATCCTTCTTGTCGTCACACGCTATAAGTATATAGGTATATATTTAAGTATATACTATTATGTATACATATATATATAGTGTGTGTATATGTGTGTGTGTGTATGTGTGTGTATAAGTGTGTGTGTATATGTGTGTGTGTGTGCGCGTGTGTGTATTTATATATAGAGAGATGTATATGGAGACAGGACCAAAACAATGCAATGTGGGATCCTGGATTGGATCCTGAGAAGAAAATCCATGTTTATGGTTTCGATTTGCATGTCCCTTCAATGATAGACTAGATAAAGAAAATGTGGTACATATACATAATAGGATACTTTGCAGCCATAAAAAAAAGAATACAATCTTGTCCTTTGCAGGGACATGGATGGAGCTGGAGGCCATTATCTTTAGCAAAGTAACACAGTAACAGAAAACCAAAGAACTCACTTATAAGTGGGATGTGAATAATGAGAACACATGGACACATGGAGGGGAACAACACACACTGGGGCCTATCAGAGGGCAGGAGGAGGGTGAGATGGAGTCTCACTCTGTCACCCACTGAAGTGCAGTGGCATGATTGCTCACTGCAACCTCTGCCACCGGGGTTCATGCAGTTCTCCTGCCTCAGCCTCCTGGGCAGCTGTGATTACGGAAACACACCACCATGTTTGGTTAATTCTTGTATTTTTACAAAGACAGTTTCACCACATTGGCCAGGCTGGTCTTGAACTTCTGACCTCAAGTGATCCTCCCACCTTGCCCTCCCAAAGTGCTGGGATTATAGGCGTGCCACTGTGCCCGGCCATTATCTCCATTTAAAAAATGAGGAAGCTGAGTCCCATAGGGCTAAAGTAACTGGCCGAGGGCCATAAAATGATGAAGCAGCAGAACTTGGATTTGTTAAGCAGGCTCCAGAGTCCAAGTTCTTAACCGTATTGGTGCCGCAAGGCTGGAAATGCTGCTCTAGCTGTCGAGTGAGGAAGGTGAGCCGGTTGAGCGTGATGCAGAAAGCCAGTGCTTGTGGCATGTCCGTGGTGCGCCAGGATCGAGCCCTTCCCGTTTCACATATAGAAACGAAAAAGAAATGCATGTTATCAGCAGTCTGTCTTACTGGGAAATAGTCTTTGCTTCCTTAACCCATTCGGCAGTCAGAGGTGTGCTTTGAAGGTGTGCTTAGGAATTTCCTCCTGATCCCCTGGATTCAGCAGTCAGAGGTGTGCTTAGGAATTTCCTCCTGATCCCCTGGAAGTGGAGTGGACTGTGCATTCCCTGTCCCACCCAGCTCTTCCGGCTCTAGTGCCCCACATGAAGAGAGGCCCCAGGGGTTTCCACAGGTCATGTGGGCCAGACCCTGCCTCCATCAGAACTGCCCCAATCCATCCTCTCCTAGAACTGTCTCTGCAGAAAATCAGCCCGAGGTTTTGTGGCACAAAGATGTCTCCCCATTGAGTCCAAGTACAAATGCATTTTCTGGAAACATAATGCTTTAATTCAGTGTGATGAGTCATATGGCAGAAGGGAGAAGCCAGCAGAGGAAGGGCCCTTGGGACCATCCCAGCCTCTGGGAGCCGGCCCTCTCTGCAGGAACCATCTGGTTCCATAGCATGCTGTCTGAGCTCCCATATATATTTTTAAATCAACTATATGGAAGCGTAAGGTCAATACAATAAACTGCATCCATTTAACATGTACAATCTGATGAGTTTTGACAGGTGCGTGCACCTGTGAAGCTGCCTTTGTAATCAAGATTCAGAACGTATCCATCTCCCCCAAGGATTTCTCGTGCTCCTTTTCTAACCCTAGGTCTAAGGCAGCCATCGCTTGTCCACTGTGGGATATTTATTTTCTATATTCAGTTTGGGATTGAGCATTTCGGATTCTCCCAAGCCAGCGTCCTCTGTCAATATCTAAAGGTCACTGGAGACAGAACATCTTCTCAGGCCTGTATCCTCCCTGCCTGGGGCTGGGTCCTTGCTCTCAGGACAGCCGGGAGGGGCTCCTGTCCACTGCCTGGCTGGCCTGGCCCAGCTTCTTTCTTTTTTTGGCCCAGCTTCCCAGATACCTAAGACTGTAAAGGAGAAACTCTTGTCAATTTCAAGAATATGCACATGAACTTGCAGTCATAAGGAACTGTTGTTCTGGGCTTTAACCACTCAATAAATAAATTTACCTCAAAGCAGATCTGAATTAATGGAATATATCTCTCTGTCTCTTGAGTAGAAGCTGGGAAACCTGAACTTTTCTTTTTTGATGTGTGTGTGTTTATTTTAGAGACAGGATCTTGCTCTGTCATCCAGGCTTGAATGCAGTGGTGAAGTCAGAGCTCACTGCAGCCTCAAGTTCCTGGGCTCAAGAGATCCTCCTGCCTCAGCCTCCCAAGTAGCTGGGATGACAAGCGTGTGCCACTTTTCTCAACTAATTTATTTTATTTTTATAGAAACAGTGTCTCACTATGTTGCCCAGGCTGGTCTTGAATTCCTGTCCTCTGGTGAACCTCCTGCCTCAGCCTCCCAAATTGCTGGGATTATAGATATGAGCCACTGTGCCCAAGAAACCTACACTTTACATTTAACCATTGTTTTCTACACTGGCTGCTGGGTTTTAAAATCAGGAGAAAGGTCCTTAATAGGAAAGCAATTGCAAGCCATGTTTTTATTGATGATCAGATGGATTTTACTGTGGTCTGGAATCATTCCGCAATTATTTATCTGGTTTTTATTTTCTGGCTATAACCTGCATATTTCAATTTTCCTTCAAGGCTGTTAAATTTGGGTTAATAGTTGTGTATGTCTCTTAGATCACCTCAAATGGGAATTTCTTTTTCCCTTAAATGAGAATTGTATGTGAGCTCGGAGGGTTTTTTCCTAATGCATGAGGGTGTGGATAATGGCATTCATTTCTCCCCTTGGGCCCAGGAGCCACGCCTAGAGTAATCCCATTCTCTTCCAAAGACGTTAATAGAGCATCTGATTCTTGCAAGATACTTTTCTTGGTCCTTATGCTGGATAAAAATGGGTAGAATCCTGCTAAAAATAACAACAAAAACCAATAGCAAAGAAAGGCACATTGATTAAATATGAAATTACATTAAGTTAGAAGAATCACATCTGGGTGGGGGCTACATGCAGCCAGTGGAGACGGGGTGAGGCTAGGGTGAGAATCTCCTGCATACAGGGAAGGCAGGCTGAACTGGCGGCTGTTGCTGAAAAACCTCATGTCATCTGTCAGACTAAGCCAGAAAAGCAAGAGTTACGTCTGAAAAAGTAATTTGGACCATAGACCAAAAAGCCATGGTAGAAAGTTTATTCTTAATTGGTGGACCACGCGAGCAACGGAAGGTTGAGGCAAGGAATGGTATGACTTTAACCTGCAGGACTGGGTAGGGTAGATGGGACCTGGGAGGGTCTGGAGGCAGGAGGACCAGTGATAAAGATCTGACTTCATCTGCATCAGTTTCAGAATAGTCAGAATATTCAGGTCTCAGAATAGTCTGGAATTTTAGGAGGAAATATTTATTTGAGGCAGGAATTGGAAGATGTGCAAATTTGTAGATGAGAAGGATGAGAGAGAGGAAGCGTGCAAAGCTGACTCAAGTATGCAATTCTAGAACTAGGGAAGGGGCCAGGACTCTGGGTGCATAACAGGGAGCTAATTGTCTATTGGCTCCACACTGAGGAGTGAGTCATAAGTTTCAGGCACTCATAAACTCAGAGAAGCATGCATTACCCATTGGCTCTTCAGTAATGCTTTTCAGGCAGTCATAAACTCAGAGTAGGATGCATCACCCAAGCAGGATTACCTTGGCAACAGTGAGCATCATCATACTGAGATGACAGATTTCACAGAGAGTGGCTTGGCCATTATTTGGTGAATAAGCATCAAAGCAACGAAATACCTTTCAGTAGTAGAGTACCTTAGATACTTTGAAGGGTCTCCCTGCTATCATACAGACAGATTCTAGATAAACTACATTATTTAAATTTTTTTCTAGGCTCATAAGGAAGTGGTTGTATCTGTGAGCTTTTGCTGCATAACAAATCATCCCAAGACATTTTCAGATAAACTAAATCTGACAGTGTGTCTGTCCTGTGCCAGGCACCAAAGGAACTTCTAAAGAGTGTACTTTAGGGAAAAGGAAAATGACTCCAGAAGCATGTCTGGAGGCAGGGATGAATTATAAGCAAATACATTTAGAAACAAATAAATCTACACAAACATTTATTGCATAAAATCATAAGAATAATGTCTAATTTGAAGAACAAGGGAGATATATCCAAAATACTGAACAGTTAGAAGGAAATTATCAGATTTAGTATCCTAATGTCTTTGAATCTTATTGAGGGGAAGCAGATGTTAAGATATTTTATAAAATTAGATTTTGCAAAGTTGTCAATAGTTAAATTTCAAGAGTAAGCAATAAAATAATAGAAATAGAGTGCAATTTCTAAATCGGTAGAGGGGAAAAATGAAATATGATAACATTTCAACAGATCAACCAAAATGCAACTAATCCAAGCAAGGGCAACCAGAGGAGAAAAAAGGAAACAGAGGCACCCGGACAAACAGAAAGCACGGAGAGGGATGGTAGAAATAAGTCCAAATATACCACTAATTACAATGTGTTTTAACTCTCCAGTTAAAAGACAGAGATTGTCACCTTAAATTTTTAAAACTCCAGCTGTATTCATTTCCAAGAGACACATTATAGGCAGGTGTTGAACAATGAGAACACATGGACACAGGGAGGGGAGCATCACACACTGGGGTCTGTCGGGGGGAAACAGGGGAGGGACAGCGGAGGGTGGGGAGTTGGGGAGAGATAGCATGGGGAGAAATGCCAGATATAGGTGATGGGGAGGAAGGCAGCAAATCACTCTGCCATGTGTGTACCTATGCAACAATGTTACATGTTCTTCACATGTACCCCAAAACCTAAAATGCAATAAAATAAAAAATAAGAGACACATTTAAACGCTCAGGAGAGTGAAATGTTGGAAGCAAAACGATGGCAAGGGTTACGGTAGGTAAACCCTAAAGAGCAAAAAGCTGGGGTAACTTCATTAATATCAAACAAACTAGCCCGTAAAACAAAATGCATTATTAAAGATGAATGCAGCCTGGACACGGTGGCTCATGTCTGTAACCCTAACGCTTTGAGAGTCTGAAATAGGAGAATTATTTGAGCCTAGGAGTTTGAGACCAGCCTGGGCAAAATAGTGAGACCCTGTCTCTGCATTTTTTTTTTTTTTTTTAATAACCAGGTGTTGTGGCATGCACCTGTACTCTTAGGTACTTGGGAGGCTGGAGCAGGAGGATCACTTGTGCCCAGGAGTTGTAGGCTGCAGTGAACTATATAATCACTTTACCGCATTCAGCCTGAGTGACAGAGTGAGACCCCTGTCTCAGAAAAAATAATAATAATAAGGTTAAGTCTGTCAGTGTATAATGATAAAAGTTTCTGTTTTCCAGTAAGATAGAATAATTATTGACCAGGCACAGTGGCTCACACCTGTAATCCCAGCAGCTGAGGTAGGCAGATCACTTGAGGCCAGGAGTTCAAGACCAGCCTGGCCAACATAGAAAAACCCTATCTCTATTAAAAATACAAAAATGTAGCTGGGCACAATGGCACACACCTGTGGTCCCAGCCATTCAGGAGGCTAAGGCACAAGAATTGCTTGAGCCCAGGTGGCAGAGGTTGCCCTGAGGGGAGATTGCACCACTGCACCACAGCCTGGGTGACGTAGTAAGACTCATTCTAAAAATAATGATAATTATGATTAAGTATTTAGCTTGACTTGCACACATTCTCAAATCTGTCTTCTTCTCACCTTCACTGTCACACTTGAGTTCGGACCTTCATCCTTATTGCAGTTCATTGTCCACTCAACAGCCAGTGTGGTCAGCCTAAAATTCAGATGGCTCTTGATGAGAAAGCCTCGATTCCTGAACTTGATGTAGGCTGTACATCTACAAGGTGTAGAGTCTCACCTGCCCTAGACCCAGCTCCCCGACCTCTATGCTCCATCATGGTGAAAACTAAGCTTGGGTTCTCCAAAAAACTGCATTTCCTCTAGTTTCCAGACCTTTAAACATGCTGCTCCCTCTTCCTGGTGTGGTCTGATTTTCTTTTAGTTGGCTGACTTCATCAGAGCTTGACTTCAATGCCTCCTCCTCTGGGAAACCGTCTCTGATCTTCTTCTTTTGGGTGGAGACCCATCCTTTCTGCTTTTATGAACTCACTTCATGTATTTCCTAGCAACAGTTTACATTTTGTTATCAGCGCCTTCTTGCTTGCCTGCCTCCAGTGAGTAAGCTGTGAACACCTTGAAAGCAAGCACTGTGTCATTCATTCATGATGTCAACAAATGTTTATCAAGCATCTGCTAAGTGTGGCATTCTTCTAAGAGCTAGGGATAGAGCAGCGAACAAAAAAGTGAAACAAAACCCCTGCCTTCATACCACTCTCATTCTAGACAAGGGAGCCAAACAATAAGCTGGGTAAGGAAGGAAAAGAGATGGTCCATTAGAAGATGATAGGTGTTTGCAGAGACGCAAAGCAAGGAGAAAGACAGGGAGTAAGGGGAAGAGGGGAGATGTTAAATAAGACGATCAAGGGAAAGTCTCAGCAAGAATGTGACATTTAGGCAGAAAAACAGAAAGAGGCGAGAGAGTGAGCCATTCAGACATCTGGATAGTGTGGTGGATACCACTCCTGGGCATCTACCCAAAGGAAAAGAAGTCATTCTGTCAAAAAGATGCCTGCGCTCGTGTGTTTATCCCAGCACTGCCCACAATAACAGAGTCATGGCATTAACCTAAGTGCCCATCAAGAGTGGATGGGATAAAGAAAATATGGTATCCGTGTATATATATGTCACGGAACACTATGCAACGATAAAAAAATGAAATCATATCCTTTGCAGCAACACAGATGTCGCTGGAGCCCACTATCCTAAAAGAATTAACAAAGGAACAGAAAACCTAATACCACGTTCCCACTTACAAGTGGGAGCTGAACATTGGGTGCACCTGGACTTAAAAATGAAAACAATAGACATTGGGGGCTACCAGAGTTGGGATGGCATAAGGGTTGAAAACTGCCTATTGGGTACTATATTTACTATTTGGGTGATGGGTTCAACAGAAGCCCAAACCTTAGCATTATGCAATATATCAACGTAACAAATCTATACAGGCACCCCCTGAATCTAAAATTTTAAAAATCATAAAAAGAGCAAGACAGGTAACTAAGGGAAGAGCATTGGTGAGAGAAGGAAGAGCCAGTGCGAAGGCTCTGAGCAGAAGCAGACAGGGGCGGTTCAAAGACCAACAGGGAGGCCCATGTGGCTGGATTAGAGGGAGCAAGGGGCAGAGTTCTGGAAGCTCAGAAAGCTATTATTCTGTTGTAAGACCCATCACAAGGATCTTGGACTTTTATTTGGGGCGAGATTGAAAGCTTTCAGATTTTCAGCAGAGGGATGGCATGCCCTGACTCCTATTTAAAGTAACATGATTGTAAATAATATAACATTTTAAAGACAGTCACTCTGGATGGGGTGTTGATTAAAAAACTGAGGCAGGCGATGAGGGGGAACTGGGAAACAAGTTAGGAGGCTATTGCATTAACCTCACCAAGAAAGGAAGGTGGCTTAGAACAGGGAGGTAGCCATGGAGGTGAAATCTGGATATGATTTGCAAATGGATTAAATATGGTGGATCAGAGAAAAGGTTAAGTAGGTGTTTGGCCTAAGCAACTGTAGGATGGAATTATCATTACCCAGATGGAACAGATGCTAGATGAGCGTATGGGTGATGGTTACACAAGAGGATGGGTTCAGTTGGGTCACATACATTTAAAATGCTTATTAGACATTCAAGTGGTGTGTCAAGTTAGGGAGTTGGATGCACAAAGTTGAATTTAGGAAAATTTTTGGTTTGGAGATAGAGGTTTCGTACAGTTAGCCAAATTAGCATGTAGATGCTATTGAAAGCACCCAAGAAGGTGACTACATGTAGAAGTTCTGGCAACAGCACTCAGCACAGTGCCTGGGTGCCACTGAAGAAAAAGCAATTGAAGTTCATAATTTACGGATCCCGACGTATTAGGCTGTTCTGGCCTTGTTTTAAATAAATATCTGAGACTGGGTAATTTATAAAGAAAAGAGGTTTAATTGGCTTATGACCGTGCAAGTATAGCACCAACATCTGCTCAGCTTCTGGTGAGGCCTCAGGGAGCTTTTGGGCAGAAGATGAGGCGGGAGCAGACATATCACATGGCAAGAGTGGGAACAAGAGAGTGAGGTGAGAATGTCCTAGACTTTTAAACAACCAGATCTTGCATGAACTAACTGAGCAAGAAATCACTTATCGCCAAGGGGATGGTGCTTAAACCATTCATAAGGGGTTTGGCCCCACGATAAGTTACCTCCCGCCAGACCCCCATCTCCAACATTGGCAGTCACGTTTCAACATGATATTTGGAGGGGATAAACATCCAAACCATATCACCTGATGACCTTTAAAAGAGCAATTTCAATGAAGCAATGGCAGCAGAAGTTAGGCTGCAAGGCATTAAAGGAATAAGAGAGAGGAAATTCAAATTGAGAGATAGAGCTGTGGCTAGAGAAGATACCCTCAACATAAAGATCTGGTGATATTTGTAGCTCGATTGAAGAAAGGAAAGAGAGAGGAATGGCTTAGGGTGTCCGCAGAGTGGGGAGAGGGTCAGAGACTGAAGGAAAGGAGAGGGATGAGGAGTCATGGTAGGCAGACAACACCACAGAAGCTCCTGGTTAAGGACTGAGGCAAAATTTGGACATTCGATTGACAGCAGATCCAGGAGCTCACTACCTGCCTGCCTTATGGTAGAAAAGCAGATGTGAGATCTGTTTGCCTAACTTTAGCCCCATCGTCCATCATCCCTTACTTCTCAGGTTTTTGAAAGGTAAGGGAGACAACTTTTCAACAAAATGGACAGTAATATTCTCTGAAGGCAGTAAGGGCCCAGGACACCAGGATAGGAGATTAAGGAGGAAGGACAGTTTTTTTAAAATCCAGCCTCTGGCAGGGATGGGAGGAGTATTGGCTGACAGAGAGTCACATGAGGCTAATGAAAGGATGAGAGGGGCCCAGGCACAGTTGGGACACAGGTCTCCAGTGGGTGTAGCCAGTTGGCACCTGTCCCTGGCCCTGTGAAAGCAAAAACCAAGGAGACTTGTAAAGTCTGCAGTTCAGAGTGACCGTGAGGTACCTGGATGGCTGGTGTGATCACAGAGGTGTGTTGAGCACAGTGCTTGCACTGGCAGTGAACATTCTGAAAAGGGAATTAAGAGAACAAAACCATTTACAATAGCATCAAAAAGGATTAAATGCTTAGGGATACATTTAGCCAAAAAAATGCAAGACACGTACACTGAAAATGACAAAACATTATTGAAAGAAATTAAAGATCTAAGTAAAACAGATATCCTGTGCTCATGGATTAGAGGACTTAAGAGAGTTAAGATGGCAGTTCTTTCTAAATTGATCTAGAGATTCAATGCAATCCCTATCAAAATGCCAACTGCCTTTTTATTTTTTTGCGGGAATGGAAAAGCTGATCCTAAAATACATATGAAATGCTAGGGACACAAAATAGCCAGAACAGTATTGAAGAAGAACAAAGTTGCACAACTCACACTTCCCAGTTCTAAGACTTACTACAAAGCATATAATCAAAGCAGAACAGTGCTGGCACCAAGATAGACATGGAGATCAAAGGACTCACATTTAGAGTCTAGAAACAAACCTTCACATTTGTAGTCCATTGATTTGCAAGAGTGACAAGACAATTCAACAGGCAAAGAATGGTCTTTTCAGCAATGGTGCTGGGACACAGATATTCACATAAAAAAGAGTGGATGTGGACCCCTACCTTATACTTTGTAGAAAAGAATTCAAAGGGCATCAAAGGCCTAAATATAAGAACTGAAAATATAAAATTCTTAGAAAACATAGGGGTAAATCTTCATGACCTTGGATTTTGCAATAATTTCTTACATATGACTTCAAAACCACAAATAACCAAAGAAAAAATAGATACTTTGTATTTTACCAAAAATAAAAACTTTTATGCTTCAAAGGACATTATCAAGCACATGAAAACCCACAGAATGGGAGAAAATATTTGTAAGTCATATGTCAGGAAAATGTCTTTGTATCCAGAATATGTAAAGAGCTCTTATAACTCAAAACTAAGAAAACAAAATAACCCTTTTTTTTTTTAATGGTCAAAAGATTTGAATAGACTTTTTTTTCCAAAGGAGGTATAAAATGGCCAATAAGCGAATGAAAAGATGCTCAACATCTTTAGTCATTAGATAAATGCAAATTAAAACCACAGTGGCCACTTCACACTCACTAGGATGGCAAGAATCAAAAAAAGCAGACAATGTGATTTCTATGTGATCATGAGTTGGCCAGATATGAAGAAATTGAAACCTCGGTTCATTGCTGGTGGGAGTGTAAAATGGTGCAGCTGCTTTGGAAAACAGTTTGGCAGTTCCTCAGAAAGTTAAACATAGAGTTACCATATGGCCCAAGAATGAGTAATTCTACTCCTAGGTGTATACCTCAGAGAATTGAAAACATATGTTCACATGAAAATTGTGCATGAATATCCATAGCAGCATGATTCATAATAGCCAAAAAGTGGAAACAACTCAAAGGTCTATCAGCTTGAAAATGAATTAACAAAATGGTCATGATGAGGCGACCACTCATCAGAGCAGCACATACATCCAGTTGCTCCAAAGACCTGAAAGGAAAGGTCTGGGGGCTGGAAGACACTGTGCATGATAGAGAATCACACGGAAGCCTAGGAAAGCTGAAGCCAGAACATTCTAGAGGAAGGCAGTTAGTAGCATCTCCAGGCAGGGAAACAGCAAGACAAAGCCTTAGACGCAGGAGAGCTTGTTGAACACGCAGAGGACAGGAATAAGAGATCCTCAAGGAGGGCGCATGAGGGATGAGGAGTCATGGTAGGCAGATGACACCACGAAAGCTCCTGGTTCAGGACTCGGGCAAAATCTGGACCTTTGGTTGACAGGAGATCCAAGGGCTAACTACCCACCTGCCTTATGGTAGAAAAGCAGATGTGAGATCTGTTTGCCTAACTTTAGCCCCGTCATCCTTCAGACCACAGTGCTGGCTTCCACCTCTCTCATAAGAGGAGGCAAGAATTGGTCCCTTGGCCAGACCAGCAGAACCCATGCACATGACCTGGTATTTTCAGTGTGCCAAACACCTTCCCCCTTGAAAGGAAATTCCACCCAGAGCCGTCCTCACCTGCCCCGGCCTACCCTGCATGCCTGCATGGCTTAGGACTGCCATGTGGCCTCTGTAGGTCCCAGCATTGTTTCACTCCCTAGCAGACCAGAGAGGAGAACCTCTAACTCCCGGTGGCATTTAGCTTTGCTCTTTAAACATCTGGGTCACAGATATGCTCAGTTAATTAATGTTCTTAGTGCTGCTCATCTGCCTGCTGGATAATAGATTGATTCATAATTTCAATAAGCAGCTGTGTATATCTTTCCCCTGAACATAAAGGCAGCTTGCTGTCATTCATCACTTTGCATTTGGAGAATTTAAATATATTCAGGGAGACATTGTTTAGGGAGGCAGAGGGAGGGCTTCTGATTTTCTTACCATTTTGCCTCTATCACTTACTTTGATTTGGAACTTATTGGCGTTTAAAGCACATGTTAACCACATCTCTCTCAAGGGCACTTAATAAACTCCCCGTCCCTTGTTCAAGGAGAGCAGGCAGGCCCTCCTTTTGGGATCAGAGCCAAGAGTTCCTGAGTAGCTTTCATCAAGAAATGAGAACCCCATGCAGAGAATCTTATCCACCAGGAAAGAGCCACTCCTGTCCCTGAGCAGAGCACCTTCATATGTCATTCCTGGACAGAATATGCTGAAGCTCTCTGGAGGAGGGGGGATTCCCCTGGCAATCTGGGAGGGGGCTCTTCTGCTGCTCAGCTGCTGGGCCATGGCAGCCAACCATCAGGTTTTTGGTGACCAAAAGAAAGCAGCCAGCACCCAGCCAGGTGACCAGATGTCTTCATGCCTCAGTTTCCTCATCTATAAAATGTAAAGAATAATAGAACCTATCTTGCAGAGTTATTGTGAAAATTGCATTATTCTCTTTACAATGGTTAGAAATGATGCCGAGCGGTATTTTTTTAAGAGGCAGCAGCTGTGTAGAAGT